ACAATAATAATATTACAAAGGTCTTATTTATTTGTCTATAATCGTCTATTACTCTATAATTCGTCTTATTGCACATGAAGAGGATTTATCGACAGTAATTATTGTTCTAATAACGAAAGTATTCGATTTGGTCGAAATATTTCGATTGAGGATGTCAGGAGTATTCCATGGACCGTTCAGAAAAAACTTCGTTCATTTACTGATAGAGGACAATATGCGAGTAATTTCTATCGCAATTTCAATCTAGCAAGACGAATGCAATATCGAGAAAATAAACAAGGAAGATGTAATGGACGTGCAGTTTCTCATGAGATCATGTGGGCGTGAAGAGTCAAAATATCTCTCTCATTAGCCCCGGTACCCCATTATTTTTCACCCTCATCACACTCGGTGCATCATTCTGCACGGCCCCGTATTTACTCTAAATTTTTTGGATCCTCTGAAGGAGTGAATTGTCCTCTGAAACTCATAACGTCCTAAGAATCAGTGGATGAGCCTCATTATTGCTTATTTAATTGATCGATAACTCTCTGAATTGATGTGTTGAAAGCATCACCAATTTTTGATGAACGAAATTTTTTTGTCGAACATATAGAAGCTTCGTTCTGGGAGGTACCCATGGCGTCCTTCATTTTCTAAATCTCAGCTGAACTGATTCACTCGAATCACTCAGTGGAGAATCAATGAGCGATTAGTGGTCTTGGTGATAGTGATCTTTGGCGAATATTATGTTATTCTCAAACATCGGGGGAAATTAATTCCCCTGGTGCCCCTCCAGGTGCTTCATTAAACAATTATCGAGTTGGAATGGGTGCGATACGCAAAACTTTGTTGACGGCAATGACATGATTTTTTTATAAATATTTCTTGTCTTTTATCTTTTGAAGGGGTGAAATCTCTCCAATTTCTATCACAAGTTTCCCAATTAAAGTAGTTTAAACATCAATTGGATTTTGAAGATTAAAATGTAAAATAAATTCTAAACGGAAGTTAATCTGAACAGAAATAGTTTAGTTGAATTTGTGCTCAGTCTGCCGTTTAGTATTATTAATAATAATTCGGTAGCGAAGTGGTCTTACGATTAAGTCGACTTATCTCCCAGTTGAGTTTTTGAGGAATATTTCCGAATTTAAAGGAGATAGTGAAATTTTCGTAATTACATTTGTTGTAGCTCGCAATCGGCTCTACAAAAAATATTATAACAAAAATTTTGCCATCTCCCTCAGATTCCGAGATATTCATTGAAAACTGGTGAATAGTCAAAATTGACATGTACCGTTTTACCACTTCGCTACTGAATTCATCTAGACGTGCAAAAAAACGCAGTCTTATCAGAAAATGAACTTTTTAAGAATAGGAAGAAGATTAAAATCTAGAAATAATCTCGAAAAACCAGACAAAATAAATAAAAATTCTATGCCCAATATGAAAATTACCACAAGTAATACCACGAGAGCTTCAAAATTATCGAGCAATTCCCAATAGGTTCATTGCAAACAAACGAAGGAGTCAAGTTTTTCAGGTTAAAAAATCACGAGTGCGAAGCATGAGTGATTTTTCCTGAAAAACTTGACGACTTCGTTTGTGTGCAGGGAACCTTGGGGGAATTACTCGATTAATTTTGAAGCTCGAGTAGTATTCGGGAGGGAGTTTTCCTATCCAAATGTCGGCCAAAAGAATTGCACTATGAGATAAAATCCATCTGACAGTTCCAACCAGGGGTTCATTCGACCACGGAATCTTTTGTTTTCCACAAATATAGTCAACATGAAAAATTACCAGTTGAGTTATCAAAAATGATCAGCTGAATACCGTGTTGACTATAGGAAATAACAGTCGAATAGCGCTCGACGCTTCGCGTCTCGTGTCTAATTCAGCCGGTTTCAGGCATGAGTGGCATAAACTATGTTGTTCAGTACTTGTTGGGAAATTTCGTCCTTAACGTGTGTGGTTACATCACTCGCCTTCGTCTCATGCTGTAAACCCCACACACGTTAAAGACGATATTGCCCCACACGTGCTGAAATATACTATTATGTCATAGGGCCCAGAATCCGCGATTCTACCGAGCGAAGCAAGGTCCTCATGACATCCTTAACTCCAGACGAAACGCTCATTCCTCCAGTCACAAGATCTGTTCCGGATTCGGCACCCCGTCGACCACTCACACATTTTTTTGTCTCATCCTCGAAACCCGAAGAGCCGGTTCTCTCCATTCGACTCAGGATTAATGTTTTTTATATCCCGTCTTTAGGTTCTTTTTTCACCTCTATATCTGTACCGTATATATGTTTTAATACACCGCCCTGGGGGATTAAAGGATGCGTTATGTACCGTGAGTACATACCAGTCTACCTCGTTAAGGTCTTTTTGCCGGTGAGTTTAGATCATTTTTTTCTGTCACTCATTCTTCGGGCAATTACTGCCGGCTATCAATGCTGCGATGAGAAAATCCACTAAATGGAATTGAATGTTGCTGTGGATGAGCGAGGGTTGTTCAACTCCGAGAGGTATTATGGTTCGTTCGTTCCGGGCTTGTTGACTGAGCGACTGGGGTGGGAGTCGAGGGGTCCAGCCAAGCGCGGACCCAGGGCTCACCTCCAGGCATTTTGACGTCATGGCCGGGTTTTTTGGTTTATTTATGGATGATGAAATAATGGTTTTATTGCGAGTGAATCGATAATGGACTTCCTTCATGGATCGTTGGAATTGGGATTTTGTCCACAGGTTTTTTGGTTTGGAAAAATGAATGTATAAGTTTCAGTTTTTAAAGATTTCAGGACAGTGACACTTAATGCGATTTAGGGGGAGAAAATCATGAAATTTCAGGTTTCGCTAAAAATTCAGTAAAATTTCCGAATTTTAAGCGGCATAAAGACGAGAATTCCTTAAGGGGAGACTACTATGAGTTTCAAAAGTCGTGGGTTATTGGAGTGAGATTTTTCATACATTGGATCGATTATATAGATCTGTAAACGAATAATTAGTGCAAAAAAATTTTTTTTTATTGTTCGTTTGCCCGAAAACGCTTAAAATGCTAAAAACAATCCAGGGCCTCCAATTTTTGAGCTACAAAAGATTTTTTTTTTTCAAAATATTCGGAAAAATGTGTGGAACAACAATTATGAGCCAGTTTTTTGGAATTCGACTCCTACACAGCTGATTTCGTTTTTTTTTATATAAAAAAATTCACTGTTTGTGTAAAAAATACAAAAAAAGGAAACTTAGCCATGTAAGAGGCGAATTAAAAAAAAATAGCTCGTAATTGTTATTCCACATATTTTTCCGAAAATTTTGAAGAAAAAAATCCTTCGCAGCTCAAAAATTAGAGGCCCTGCATTGTTTTTGACATTTTAAGCATTTTCGGGCAAACGAACAATAAAAAAATTTTTTTTGCACTAATTATTCGTTTTCAGATCTATATAATCGATCTTCAACATATGAAAAGTCTCACTGTAATAACCCACGACTTTTAAAACTCATATAGTAGTCTCCCCTTAATTTATTAATTTGATTGTTTGCAATTATCAGTCCACAAACTTATGTTTTTTAATGTTGCAAAAAAACTAGAAAATTATTTGGTGAATTTCACCAGCTAGTTGTTGAAAAAATGAATTACCAATTAGTTGGTGAAATTTAACAACTAATTAATTATAATTCAGAAAAGATTTTTCAATTTCATTCAATCAATTTTGACTACCAAACTAAATGGTGAGGGCATATATACATTTGGAAACAATTCCGCAATCATTTACATCTTGACAATCGATCAATGTCTTCCCTAGAAGATGTTTTCGCAATAATCTCCAATTCCTTGTTAAATTTGATTCATCAAATAAATCGACGAACATTTATTGAAAATTTAACAAATAGTTGTTGAATGAAATTAAAAAATCTTTTTCTGAATTTTAATTAAACAGTTCAACAACTGATTAGCAATTCATTTTTTCAACAACTAGTCTATGCAATTCACCAAATAATTTTCTCCGTGAAGTCATATACGATTCTGTGTACGAGAAAACATTTAAATCATTTTAGGCATTGTTTTAAACATTTACTATGAATTATTGAATCGAAGGTGGGCGCATACAGCTCTTATGGACGCAATGTTTTAAATGTCATTACATCAAAAATCGTTTTCTCGAAAAAATGTTCGGAACCTAAGATTAATATTGCGCCTAAAAAATACTCTTGGTCTATTCTACAAACTCTGAAGAGGATTTCCGGCAGAAAAAATTGTCCGAACTACTTGGATATCCTAAAAAAATCGCAAGTTTAACATTACAAAAAAAATATAAAATCTAGAGCTGATCATTCGAAGATTGGCCAGAGATGGAAATTTCTGATCGCAAAAATAGATTTAGTTAATGAAAAAAATGTTTATTCTCTGTGCAAGCAAGAAATGTCATTTCTAGGACTACTTCTTCATTTTCACAGATTATTCGTGACCATCATTTGTAGTTGGAAAATTTCTGCGTCACGAAACCATAATTTTTGGTCATATGACGCGATCTAAAAAATGACGATCATTTTACATCTCTATTTTTCTCACTGTAGAACTATTGAAAAGCGTTTGGATATCAAAATAATTCAGTAGCGAAGTGATAAAACGGTTTAAGTCGACTTATCTTGAGTTGTTGAGAAATATTTCCGAATCTAAGGGAGATAGCGAAATTTTCATGATTACAGTTGTTGTAGATCTCAATCGGCTCTACAAAAAAGTTATAATAGAAATTTTGCTATCTCCCTTAGATGCCGAGACATTCATTGAAAACTGGCCAATAGTCAAAATTGACTTGTACCGTTTTACCAGTTCGCTATTGAATTAGCAAAATCAAACTTACAAAAACAAAGCTTCATTAGAAATTCGCCTCTGATTTCAAATTTCCCGGGATCTCGAAAAAATCGCGCCACTCCCGCCACCTACCAGTGATCAATGGCAACCGAATTTATTTTCCCCCCGAGACTTCTCTCTGCAATTTCATCTCCTCATGCTTGTCATCGTCGTTCGACTATTTTTACCGTGTATTTATGTATTTTGATGCACGAAGCTCTTGATACGATGGCTGTCAAAGAAAAACAGGGAGATTCCACCGAGGAAATTGACTGGAATGTCGAGAACGAGGTTCAACTATTCTTCGCCATGAACGGCCACAAGCCAGTCGGTACGAAACTCCAATTATTCTCCACCCAAAACCTCAGAAATTGCCGTTCTCACCGGCCATCTAGGTTATGTTATTGACCTCTCAGTAACTTCAATTTTTTTTCAACATTTTCCTTGCATGCGAAACAGGTGTCAACAAGTACTTTCACATGGTCTGCATCTGGGAGAAATTTCGTGCAGCTATAAACAAGGATGTATCATTCAAGGCCATTTGGGATCACCTGGAGACGATGTACGACTTGGTGGCACTGGTGAGAGGAATCCTAAATCACCCCTCAACCATTTTATCAATTATTTCCATAGCGACGTGGAAAAACCCCTTCAGTAGGCGAAATTGAAGTGAAATGGCCGTTCTTAAAGGGGCTCACACAATTTTTTTCAAGTGCCAGAAGTATTTGATAGAAAATTTCGATGATTTTTTCCTAACTTCATCTTTATTAAAATAAGGAAGAAATTGTTTTTATTAGCAATTTGGGGCGTTCGATGCTGCACTGAGACAAACACAAACACGTTGTCAACCAAGTCTTGTTTGGGCCAACAAAATCGCTAGTTGAAAATTGCCAAAAAAGAATTTGTTTGATTCGAATTTGAAAGTCTCAAACATGAATAATTGTTCTGCTTTCGACAGCAACGAAATATTTGGCTCAAGAGGCGGATAATTCACACCAGACGGTGCCTTTTCAGGATGAAAATATCTCATATTTGATTGCTATCAACAAGATTGCTATCATATCATTATTATTGTTTCAGTTAAGGGTTCATTTCTTGTCTGTGATTATTAGATAGCCGAAACGAAAAACTACTATCCCTTGTTTCGCATACAATAAAGATTTTTCGGGAGCAAAATACGTATGGGAGTATCGAATAACGAAAGAGTAGTGCTAGAAATGACATTTCTTGTGTGTACAGAAAATGCAATTTTTTTTGAACTACTAAATCTATTTTTGTGACAAAAATTTTTCATTCCGGCGCACTCTCTGTATGTTTGGCACAAAAAATCCTTTTTTGATAATTTCCAAAAAACCATTTTCTTGGCACAAGTAAAACTTGTTTGAGAACTTTGTCGTTTTTCTCTCAATGTACTTCCATGGTGAATTTAGTTGAAAAGGAATCTGCAAACTTTTGAATATTTATATCTCAGTAACTACATATTTTATGTGGAAAAGTCAAAAGGGCTTTATTCTTCGGAAAGGATGTTTTTTTTATTGTTATTTTACATCGCTTCGACTCGCTTGAGTATATTGGAATGATGATCAAGACTTTGACATTGTTACATCTCACCATTCTACCCGACCGGGCGGAAAGGATGGTTAGTTATTAAAAAAAAATTATCGCTCGGAAAAAGTAAATATTATTGCAACTTTTTAAATGAAAAATTAGAAAAAACGGAATCCTAAATCATCCCTCAATCATTTCATCACTTATTCCAATAGTGAAGTGGGAAAACCACTTCAGTGGGGGTAAATGAAGTGAAATCGTCTTTCTTAAAGGGGTTCACACCACTTTTTTCAAGTACCAGAAGTATTTGATGGAAAATTTAGACGATTTTTTCCTAATTTCTTCTTCATTAACCGCTTACGTACGGGGTCGACACCAGGTATCGACCCATGAGAATGTCAATGACTCTCTTCAAAACTGATTATTTCCAAAACTGTGGAAAGTAATTCAACCAGACAAATATCAATGGAAAAAGGAATACTGTAGCTCCAATTACATGCCGGTTTCATAATTTTCCGTTGATTAGAAGTCATCGCATTCTAGTTTTATCGAGCGTTTATCTCCCTTCATAGGCTCCCCCTCATAGACGGGGTCCTTGAAAAAAAGGGGTTAAAACAAGTCTATGAGGGGTTAAAACAAGTGGGAAATTTCTTTTATCAGTAATATGGGGCGTTCCAAGCTATTTCAAAAGTGAATTTAGTTGAGTAAGGAATCCCCAACTTTTGAACATTTATATCTCAATAACTGCACATTTTATGTGGAAAACTGGGCTTTAAATATTATTGCAACATTTTAAATAAACAATTAGAAAAACCGTTGAGTTACGTGAGTTCCCCCATGAAAAAATTTAAAAAAATATATGTTGTGGGGAATATTGTTGACAAAGCTGCGTCAAAATTTTGTTTAATGACATTTACTGATGGTTGAGATATTTATTTTTTATGAAGTCGCGCTGTCCCGCGACCGGAGCGAGTAGGAGGTCCTCTAATGATTTTTCTATAAAAAAATTTGAAACATGTGTAAACCTCCAGGACGACACAGAGGACCTGCCCTTCCCCAGCACTGAAGTGGATTTCGCCCTCCCAGAGTCAGAGTTCTTGGAGCTTATAAAAAACAAACAGAAGGAAGAGACTGACACGAAGCCCAAGGACGTCAAGGAGAAGATGAAGGAAACGAAGAAGGAAAAAGAGGTGAAGGAGACACCAAAGAAGGAGATTGTTGCGAGAGAACAGAAAGCCCCTAAGGAGGTTGACAAGAAGAAGGAGGACTTGAAGAAAATTGTGAAGGAGCCAGAGGTGAAGAAGGAAAAGCTGAGGGAGACGAAGGAGGTCAAGAAGGATAACAAAACCCCCAAGGGGAGAGGAAAAGGGAAGGAGGACGTGGAGGAGCCACTGCCAGGTAAATAATATTTCTGAGCCTGATTTTTGTGAGAAAGTCGCCAAAAGGAGATTGATTAATTCAATAATTTCGTATCTTTCGAACGTTATCTCGATGTTTTTTTTCATCCTTCGTCATCTGAAATTGTCAATTGAGTTCTGCAAAAAAAGTAGAAGAAATTTTTAATTTTTTCAAGGAGCATTTTTAATTTATATTCAGAATAAGTTGAATAACAAGAAATTGAAAAATGTATCTGATTTACGGTGACAAATGGCGGCCTGTCACTTAATATTATGCAGGGGGAAGACTGATTTCGTAAATCTTTTCTCATACTGCACAGAGACATTTATTATACGGAAAAGGCTCTTTGAAAAAAGTTGAAATATTTTGGAGAATTTTTTAATCACACTTTTAGCACTTAAAAATGGCAGATGACTACATATCACTGTTTTGAAAATTGAGATACCTAGCTGCCACTTACCATGAGGAGTTAGTGTTTTGTTATCTACCATGGAAAATTACAGCTAATAAATAATTTGTCACTGCGAATCAGATATTTGTAATTTCCAGTTTTTTCAACTCATTCTGAATCTCAATTAAAAACACTCTTTGAAAAAGTTCAGAATTTTTTCTATTTTTTTTTATTATTCTATCATAATTTTTGGGAATTTCTACATGATGTACCACTCAATTGACAATTTTGGATTACGAAAGATAAAGAAAATCCAGATAACTTTTGGAAGATAGTACACCCGGGCCTTAACAGAGATCTTTTTCTAGAGAAAAGAATTTCCTACGAATATGGTCTCAAGGTTTTGATCTACCTCTTGTTAAGGAGATAATTGTGAGATTAATTATTCGTAAAATTATTCAAGGATACAATATCAAGAAGAATGTTTATAGGAAGTTCTGTTAATTTTTCACATGAAGTTTCTATTGAACATTTTTTGTTAAAACAAAGAATGCGAAATCATTCACGTTTATTCAACAAATGAGAAGAATTCATCAATTAAATGATTATTTTGGGGTGAGCGACTTGTACAGGATGTGATGAGACTTTTTCTGTACAAAAACGGGTGACATTTTACCCTAAAAGGATAAATTTTTGAAATGATTAACGTAATTAATTGAATGTGTGATCCCGATCATTTATCTACTTATTAATTGTACACTCGTGATTAGAAATAAGTGATTTCAGGAGAAAAACAGGATTTTTTCATTCGTAATTCCTGTGAAATTCTCTCTAAAAAGTTTTCGTTGCATTTTTTCCTGGCAATGACTCATTAAAAGAATCATTGGACAATTAATGAATAGTGGAATAATTCAAGGCAATGAATTGGTCTTGACGATAAAAAATAATTATCAAAGTGATAATCTCCTCGGAATGAATAATTATGGGACGAAATGTCAAGAGATCAGGAGATATTTTTTGTAGCTTTTGACATTTTCTGAAAAAAATGGCTCGAGATATTGTCTTAAACCTCTTCCACCCCAAAATACTCACAAAATCATATCGTGCACCCATCTCTCACCACTTAATTAAAAATTATTCAAGTTCATTTCAAAAGTGAGAATACTTCGATTAGAATAGATTAGAAGCAATTCATTATTTCCCTGATATACAAAAATTCCCTAAGGTAGAACCAAAATATAACGTAATTATTAAGAATGGATCATAGGAATTATTTGCATTATTATAACTTTATTTTCATTGAATTTCCCATCGTAGATTATTTTTCATTCGTGTTTTAGTTCACGTATTTATTTTGTGTGTATTTTGTTTTAAGTAGATGATTATTTTGGGAACGAATGACTTGCATACAACGTAATGAGATTTTTTCTCTGCAAAAAAGGTTGACATTTTCGGAATTCCTAAAATTATTCAAGAAAAAAATTTTCTTTGTATTTTTTTCCTCAAGATGACCCATCAAAAAAATAATTGCACGATTAATGAATAGTGGGATAATTCACGGCAATGGATTGGCCTTGATGATATAAAATAATTATAAAGGAGATAATCTCCTGGGAATGAGTGTCTATGAGACGAAATCTCAAGACATCAGACGATTTTTTTTGTAGCTTCTGAAATTTTCCGCAAAAAATGGCTCGAGTTATTGTCTCCTAAACCTCTTCCACCAACATAATCACATAATCATATCCTGCACCCATCTCTCACCACTTCATTATTAGAATTATTCAAGTTCATTTCAAAAGTGAGAACAATTAGATTAGAATAGATTAGAAGCAATTTATTATTTCCCTGATATACAAAAATCCCGTAAGGCAAAACCAAAATATAACATAATTATTACGAAAGAATCTTATGAATTATTTACATTATTATAACTTTATTTTCATTTAATTTCCCATCGTAGATTATTTTGGGAATTATTTTGGGAGTGACTTACATAGAACATAATGAGATTTTTTTCTCGGCAAAAAACTCCTGAAATTCTTTAGAAAAAAGTTTTCTTTGTTTTCTTTTTGCCTCAACATGACTCATCAAAAAATAATTGCACGATTAATGAATAGTGGAGTATTTGAAGGCAATGAATTGGCCTTGATGATGAAAAATAATTATAAAGGAGATAATCTCCTGGGAATGTGTGTTTATGAGACGAAATCTCAAGAGATCAGGAGATAGTGTTTGTGGCTTATGAAATTTTCTGCTAAAAAGAGCTCGAAATATTGTCTCTTCCACCCCGGGATACTTCAAAAATGATCAAAAAATTTATGGTCTGCCCACTTTTAACTAATTACTTACTAATTATTTACCACTCTCCTGTGTCTCGATAATTTCATGATAACTCTATCGTTAATAAATAATTATTCATCTCGCCAACAGCTCTCCCAGTGAAAAAAGAACGCAAAGATTCAGACGCCAGCAGAGAGACCCCCAAGAGAGTGCCAAAAAGGCCGACAAGACAAAGTATCGACAATGCGAGCAAAGCATCGACCAGCCCTCGAGACACGCCACCCCCAAAACGTCGGAGAATATAAGGAACACTCGCCCTCGTTGATTAAGATCACTCTAGGTTTAATTATGCTTTAATTACTCATTGGCCTGTCTCGTGGGCGATTATCTCAGCGTTAACTGTTTCAAATTTTTTTCATTCATGAGTCTAAAACGAATCTAATTTTCTATTTCTTATTAAGAAGTTGAAGATAGATTAACTGCCAGTGAAAATTTAGTGTAGCTCATTTCTTCTTGACACTAAATTCAGAGTACCTTGATGGAGTGTAAATAAAACAATCATTTTTGTCTATAAAAACTATCCCTTAAATAGTTGTTAATGAAAGGTAAATCTCAGAGAATTTAGGAAGTATTCGTAGGCATCACGATGATTTTGTTATTTGTGAATATCACTTTTGGATTAACGAACAAAATTTAAATTCAAAGTTGTATAAAATTGTCAAGAGAGTTTAGAAATTGTCTCGTGAGTTTTTTTTCAAGTGTAATGTCAAAACCTGATGACATGAATTTGTCGTTTTTGTTAATTATACGATTATTTGGAAAGCGATAAAGAAATTACACATTATCAAGACAATTTCAAATTTAAAAAAATTAAATAATCGGGTGATGCGATGATTTTGGTATTTGTGAATTTCTTTTTTGGATTAACGAACGACGTTAAAATTCAAAGTTGAATAAAATGGTAAAGAGAGTTTAGAAATTGTCTCGTGAGTTTTTTTTAAATGTAATATCAGAACCTGATGACATTAATTTGACATTTTGTTAATTATGAAATTATTTTGAAAGCGAGTGATTTCAGGGAAATATTGTAGAGGACATTGTCGTTTAATATTTCATCTGTAAATCACTCATTGCCAAAACAATTCAAAAAAAAAAATAATGAAACATTGTTTAAAAAACAGTAAAGATTCAAATTGCCAATTTTTTTAGAGATATTCTATGGAGTAATTGAAGGTAAGTTGAAAGTCAATTAATTGCCAGTGGAAATTTTGTGTAGCTCATTTCTTCTTGACACTAAATTCAGAGTACCTCGATTGAGTGTAAATAAAACAGTCACTTTTTTCTATAAAAACTATCCCTTAAATAGTTGTTAATGAAAGGTAAATCTCAGAGAATTGAGGAAATACTCGTAGGAATGGCGATAATTTTGTTATTTGTGATTTTCTCTTTTGAATTAACAAACTTAGAGACAATTTAAAATTTTCAAAAATTAACTGATGAAATCTTAATTGATAAATAAATTGAAGAGTAGGAAATACTTACTTTACATGTGAGATTAGCAGAAAATCCGTTGTTTCCGTTTCGATGACACATAAAAAAAATTCAAATCCCCAATGTTTAATTATTATATAGTAAAAAAAATACGTGACTTTTTTCCCTTAAAAATACTCATAACAAAGACAATTAGATATATAACAAGAGGTCAATCCTGAACAAGCCTCAAGAACCTAGAAAAACCTCAGTCATTGCTACTCCCTCATTATTTCTAAATTAGCCCATCAAATCGTCAGTGAACCTTCATAGTAGACAAATAGTCAAGTGATAAAATTTATATGTAAAACTCATCATTTTGGCTAATTATCCAATTATCTCACAAACGAAGAATTTAATTACAAAAATTTTGTAGTTGACAAAATTTCCAGCAAAAAAGGTCCTTCACCACTTCTTCATTAAATCATCAATCATCGAGATGATTTGGGTGTAACAATACGTTAAAAATAGAAGCCCGACGATTTGCCCTATTATTTTTTCATGGAAAAACCTTCAATTTTATTTAACTCCTCCAATTACTTATCACAAAGATACTTCAATATTCAACGAGATAAAACGTTTCTGGAGGCGAATACTAATAATATAAATTCATCCTAGCAATTATGGTTGCCCCATTACCTCCAAATGTCTCCAGTGAATCCTCAAAATTCAATGAATAAACAAATAAAAGAGTCAAAAGCACTTACTGACAGGTTCCAGTTATAAAAATTCGTGTAGTGAATGAATAGTAAAGTGGTAAAAATTCTTAAATTGAATCCATCTCACTAACAAAAAATGAAGAAAAGTAAAAAATATCAATTTCGTAGCTGACGAAATTCCCAACAAAAAAGGTCCTTCACTATAATTTCTGTTTCACAAGACGTGAAAAGTAGAGTCATCACGATTTACCCTATTATTTTTTTATGGAAAAATCTTCAATTTCTGATAATTGTACAATTCTCTGAGACTAATAATTTCATAACAAAATATAAAAAAACCGATCTCCCCCAAATTGCTCATCATTAAAAGATAATTTATTATTCAATATTCACTATTCAACAAAATAAAAAGTCTAAAGACAAATTCCAAAAATACTAACTCGTTCTAATAATTATTATTCCCCCATTACCTCCAAATTTCTCCACTAAATTCCCAAAAAATCCAATAAACAAGTAAATAAAAGAGTTAAAAGTACTTACTCAAGACGTACCACCAGCAAAAATCCTCAGAAAGCCAACAACAATAATAGCTCCAAAGGACTAAATAAAAGAGGTTAGGAATTTCGAAAAAGAATAAAGAAAATACCAAAAAAAATTGTGGTTACCAGCTGCGATTTATTAACATAATCTCGGTGTTGAACATTGATGGAATCGATGGAGTGTCACGCCACGATGACGAAGGTGATGTCTCCCCCAGGTCCACCGTGATGCTCCCCTCGGTGTCGTTCACCGCAGCAAATCCATGTCGTTTCGTTGTCTCAAATAAATCCAGGAATGCAGCTGGTCCCCAATTTTCTTCTTACTTAGATAGTTTTGAAGAGTGATAACACCTCATCGCAGTCTCCTTGCCTCACGCTCAGACTCTAACAAGGTTAGGAGGTCTCCCTCACGGACAGGTCCCTTCACGTTCCTGATGATCTGGCGATTCTGTTCGCCCAGGAATTCCACTTTGACTTGTGTACACTGACCTTGGGAGCCGGTACGTCCCAAGACTTTGATTACTCTGGCGAGAACAACGGGTTTATCCATTTTATTTTCCAGATGCACGTGGCTTGGTGCAACCGTTCGACAACGCAACGAGGAAGCGAAAGAGACAGATCACCACCGGAATCAAGTGTCGTTGGGATTCAATATGGCAACTTCCGGTGGCTGCTGAATTGCGCGCTCGCTGTGCGCATGCGTGTTTCTTTATGCTTGGTGTTTGAATGCGGAAGTGGCTTCAGGGGAGCGATTTTGCTCGTTTTATGTCGAACATAAAATCGGAAATTTCAAGCAATGATAGTCCTGGATTAGTAATATTCAACTAGGATTGGTTGAAATTTTTCATTTTATGTCGACATAAAATGAGCAAATTCCTTCCCCAGAAGAAAATCACTTATTGTACATTTTTATTCACACATTTAATTAGAACATGACTGATTATTTTATAATAAAAATTATTCAGGAAAAATGAATTTTGATCATTTTTTCGACAGACGTCATATTGCTCTTTTCCACTTTTTTTTCCTTCCAAAATTTTCCGCATCCCCGTCATTGTTCTTCTTTAGGCTGCTGGAGGAACATATGAAACTATTCCCTGATGATTGAAAAAAAGCGGAAAATGACATTTTTTTTGGAAATGTTTACAGTTATTGTTACTAATAAATTAGAAAACAGCTTACGAATGGTTTCTTTTTTAATGCTTATTTCACTATTGTCTTCTATTTTTTCATGTCATAGTACATTCATCCATTGAAATTTTCTATCAAAATCTTGCGTATTATTTCATTGTGGCAGACAATTCTACATTTAGACCCTCTAAAGACTCGAATTCGTGCATAGCCGGGATTTAATCAGGGTTTATTCAAGATTTAGTCAGAGTTTAACCGAGTTTAAACTGTCAAAAGGTCTCTGACACTACTCATGCGATTCAACTCATCTTCAATAGAAACCATCATTATCAGGAGATTCTCTCCAAATTTCAAGTTGATATCTCGATTTTTGTACAAGCTAGAGTGATTCCAAAAATTTATTATGAAAAAACGGAAAAACAGGAATATCTCCAAAATTTTGTATGAACGGGTGCCTATGTTTTGATTGATTCAGATAGAAGGCATCGCAACGAATATTTTGAAAACAAAAAAATCGAAATCGGTCCCCTACTTTTGAAGTTATTTGCGGAAAATTATTTAAAAACGAATGGCCTTTTCTCAAAAACTATCAGATTAAAATTTTGCAGAGGTAGTCCTCATTAAGACCTAATATCTGACAAAATTTCAAATTTTTTGGAATTACTTTAGCCACTTAATTACTCAATTTTCTAAAAACTGACCACCGGGGAAGTGGCGGTGGACGTGATCACATGCAGACATGGTTGCCAAACATCATATTTTTACGTTTCAGACCATTGTACATCATTTCCAATTAAAATTGTAGAATGTGAAAATTGGACGATTACGCTTCTTTCATTCGGAAGCAAACGTGATAATTCTGATGTTGATAAGGCCTATAATCCATTCCAACGATTCATTACTGAAGACAATGATTTCTATAATTTATTTAATTTGTTTTTGAGGGGGAATGGAACCCCTCTGCCTGTATGCAATTATTATTTTTTATTCATGATACTACTTCATTGGCTCAAGAATGCAATGATCGCGTCGATAAAGTTGTTTCATAGATTAAAATTAAGGATGTTTATCCAAAATCGCAAGTACTTAAAAAAATTTGATTTTTTTTTCAACTGAGAGATGAAGATATTCCCTTCACTTTGATATAAATTTCAATCCACCAACCCATGTTCATTATTTAGAAATAAAATAGATAAAATGCACCAAATGCATGCGCTAACATGCGCTTATATGGGATAGAATCATTCAAATATTTCCTCTTTTTGCCCGGGTACCCCAGATTTTTCTCTGGCCATTGGATTCAGTATGATTTTACACATTACCTTCTATTTTTATTTCTATTTTTAGAGTCTTCTAGTAGGTGAATTATCAATTTGAACCTAAATTTCAAAAGAACCCGTGTATAAGGAAAAACTCGTTTATTCATTTCCGCCGAAACTATTGCGATTAATTTTACTCAACGTTAGAAAAGTTGGTTTTATGTGTTCTGCTGTCAGCCGAAAAAATTACAGAATTTTCCTTGAACATGACAAAAAAAAAACATTTACTGACAATTTACCGACACTGGCTAAATATCCTTAAATTAAATTGCCCGCGGGAAAATGTTGATTAATGAAAAAAATGAATTCTATTTCATCAATAAAACGAGTAAGATTCATACGTGCTCAATTCTTATAGTTGCGAAAGTAATCAAGATTCCCTCTAAATTATTCAAAGCAGAAGATCAAAACGACACAATTGAATACGGGGAAGACGACGAAGAGCCATGGTCCGACGAAGAACTCTACAGTAAGAAAATTTGTCATTTTATTGAACATTTATCAAATTCATTCAAAAATATATATCAAAACAAGTGGTTGTACTTGGTGTTACAGTGAATTATGAAAGGTTGGTATATTTGGACGAACGAGAGGCCTAAGGATTGATCTCGGAGTTGACGATATTTGAAAACTTAAATTTTGGTTTCTGTCTTGAAAATTAAATCATTTTCTTTTGGTCATTGTACGTAGTTGAGTTCTGATTTCAAAAATACTTTTATGTAACATCGATCGATAAAGAAGAAAATACACGAAATCGGATGAAAAAGAAATTATTCATTTCAACGATTAAATGATAAAAATCTTGAAAATTCTTGATTTTTTTCGGAATTTCTTGAAAAAATGTTTCAAGAATCTTTAGTATTGAAATCCTGTCAATTTTCTTGAATTTTCAAGAAATTTCTTGAAGTCTGGCAACACTGGTAGGGGCGTTCCATACTACTTCAATCAAATCAAGACTGTTTTTTCAAACTTCAAGAAAAATTGAATATGTTCTCGATTGATTCCATGCATCTCTTGGGTGGTTATTAAAAAAAAAATTATTTCGAGTTATGCGAAATTAAAATTTTAGGTTGGGCCAGGTGAGTCATCTTTTAAAGAATTATAACGTACTCGATAAATATGAATTTTATGAAAGAAGTGTAAGAAAACTTTTTTATTCAAAACAGGTGTAAGTTTCAGGGGATAAAATCCAGACTCGAAAAATTGGAATTTGCAATGAAGTAATCAATTAAAAAATTAAAAAGTTAACAACAAACATGACGGCAGGTTGCGAAAAAATCGAAAAAAATATATGTTACAGAGTAAGTGTCAAAGAATTGCCCGTACAATTGGCATAGAACACTTCTATATCATATTCAATTTTCATCGAAATCTAAAAAAAGTCGATTGAAATAGTATGGAACGCCCCTTTAGTGTTTTAACGAACACCCGGGTGTATTATATTTAGAGGTGCGAATGCGTCACATGGTCAGGCGTTTATGACGGCTGTCACAATCCCCCCCCCCTTTTTTTTCAGTGTGACAGCGATTTTTCCAAATGACAGTGATTTTTTATCTATAGGAGGTATTCCACGCCAAATGAGTCAATCGTTGACCCTCACCCTCTTGGAAATTGATGGCGATTTTTTCTACGATTGAAGAGGGTCAAAAAACTATCTCTCAATTTTTTTCAGACTTTTTCGGGAGCCCAGTTTGGAGATATGATTTTTTTCTCGTTTTTCCATTTTTTTTCCAATAACTCGAGTTTTATTCATCCGCTTTTTATTTATTAAGCGTTAAAATTTTTCATTTTTTACTGCCTATAAGAATATTGTTAGTAAAAATTTTTGTTCGATCTTTAGATGCTCATAATAACGAATTTTCGAGAAAAAAAAGTTGAAAAAGTTAAATTTTGCAAATTATGTCACTTTTGATTTGTTTCAGTTTCTTGCAGTAATTCTTATAATTAAAACAAGTATTTTGAGCCGTCATACAAGTTGGGCATCCTCCTGGATCGATTTCATTTTCAATTTGTTCTTTTCGAAATTCCGCAAGTTTGGTCAAAACACCCCAAAATAGCAATGATTGACTTTGATTATAGACAACATGAACTGAATTTGACTGTATAACTATATATTACATATTTTTTCAATACATAATCGAAATTGTTTTGGGGTGTTTTGACCAAATTTTCGAAATTTCGAAAAGAAAAAATTAAAAATAAAATAGATCCAGGCGGATACCCAATTTGGATAATGGCTCAAAATACTTGTTTTGATTATAAGAATTACTGAAAAAAATAAAACAAATCAAAAGTGACGTAATTTGTACAGTTCAATTTTTTCAACTATTTGTTTCGAAAATTCATTATTATGAGCATTTAGGAGTTGAAAAAAAAAATTACTAGAAATACTCGTATAGGCGATAAAAAATAGAAAATTTTGACGCTTAATAAATCAAAATCGGGCAAATAGCACTCGAGTTATTCGAAAAAAGGGAAAAATGTAAAAAAAAATCATATCTCCGAACTGGGCGGCCGAAAAAATCTGAAAAAATTTGAGAGATCGTTTTTCAACCCCCTCCTCTCCCCCCAATCGTAGAAAAAATTAATTAATTTCCAAGAGGGTAAGGGTCAGCGGTTGACTCATTTGGCGAGGAATATCTCGTATAGAAGTAACTTCTTTTTTTCTTTATCAATTTTCATTTGGATTCATGTTGTATTGGAAATCATGGATATGTTTCATATATTATAGATTAAAAAAACCGTCACAAGACGGTAATTTTTTGGTCATACGACATGACCTAAAAATGACGGTAATTTTACAATTATATTTCGAATATAATTTCAATTTTTTTGCTCCCTATTCTTAGATTGTCCAATTTTGCTGGGAAACGATGTAGAATGATTTGAAATTAAAAAATACTTGGCGGTCTACATTTCGGAAAACGAAGAATTAATCGACCGTATTAATTCAAAAACTAACATAATTTTCAATAGAAGTTCAATAGAAATCCAATAGAATTTTGTAGAATTCGAGACCACAATAATTGTTTGAATAGGGAACTTGCATGAATTTTTTTAAATTTTCCAATCTCAAGTTTGGGACCTGAATAATTCATTCTTCATTCACAAACGTTTGAAATATTGCTCATTAATTAATAATTAGCTGTTAAAAGCTGAAGATTTCAAACACTTTGAGATCGCTAATGACGTCACACGGACGGTCGAGCGCTGGACCAATGCCACAGAATGGCTCGAGTCGACCTAACCCAATCTTGAGGTGCGCCTCAGCCAATGGAGGACGACAACTCCCCTCTCTCTTCATTCTCGACCAATGAAGCGTTACTTGACCGTCTTCGTGACACCATAAACGAAAAATTGACTTAAAAAACAACTGATTTTGAATTCAGTAGCGAAGTGGTAAAACGGTTTAAGTCAACTTAGCTTCCAGTTGAAATTTGAAGAATATTTCCGAATTTAAGGGAGATAGCGAAATTTTCGTAATTACATTTGTTGTAGCTCTAAATCGGCTCTACAAAAAAGGTTATAACAAAAAATGTTCTCTCTCTTAGATTGCGAGATATTCATTGAAAACTGGTCAATAGTGAAAATTGACTTGTACCACTTTACCACTTCGCTACTGAATTGATTTCGTCACAAAATATTTCTATAACAATTCATTAACTAAAAAAAAATGATTCGAATTGAATTCCAAATTGATTATTTTGAATTGTAAAAAATGATTCGTCAGGAAAAATAACATGAAAAATTCAACAAACGCCTGCCACAGGAAAAGACAAAAAAAATGAAAATTTTTACTCAATATTTATTTTTATATCTCAGTAATCATCATACCTCCCTATACATGCACGCATTTACAGTCATTTTTATTGGCTCAAGACGTCATCATCCACAAAAGTATGAACGTCAATATCTCGGTGATATATAAATTACGTAATCAATCCGCACTGAAGGAGTAAAACCTATAAAATTAATTCGATTGCATCCAACGAATGTATTATGCATGATAGTATTGCTTCCCTCTTCTCATCTCAGTCCGACATGTAAGAAGTAATAAAATAATAATAATACGTAAAAATGAAGAACACGTGGACGCATTACAAGCTACAGTAACAATAGCAATTACTACAATTACCAATGGTATTTAAGTTCCTCTTTTTCGTACGACTAAGGACTAATACAATCGTTATTACGTGATAATTTCATTTATCTAAAGTTTAAATTTTTGGAACGATTTAATCGTCAATCAATTATTGATAAAAAAACTTCAACTGATTTTATTGTATAATAATCATCTGTAAAATTTAAGTTCACTTTCAATTATTCGATGACCCGGGACATTGGGGAACTCCAGTTATGTAAATTATGCAATTAGTTTGGAGGGAAGTGAATAGGAATGAGAGATCCATTCGAAAATTTCATACGGGTATTTCGTTTATTTCAGGGGAAGTGAGATTTAGAGATTTTTTCTGATGCACTCATGACAGAGATAGTTGAAAAATTGATAAGTAGAAAACGATTCAAGCAGAATATGAAGAATTTATTGACAATTGTCCTTGAAGTGAATGATCTTGAGGTGAATTAAAATGTCAATAGAATTTTTTGTGCAGAATTTTGTTAACAACAAAAAAACTCTTTGATATTTTACCCTGGAAATCCCCTATCTGGTCAATAATTCACATATTAAATCAATTATTCGTTGACAAATGCTTCTACAAAACGTCAAGAAACATTTTCTTCCAGACCTCTTCTTTTCAAAGATATTCAAAAAATAACTAAAAATTTCATTAATTTTCCTCCATCACTTCCTTCCAGAACTATTTCTCCAGTTACGATGACCTCCACCGTGGGGGAACTTTAATTTCTTAAATTATTCAATTAGTTTGGAGTAAAGTGATGAAGATTAAGAATAGAAATTTCATACTTGTTATTTCGTTTATTTCGGAGCAAAATGAGCGTTTAAGATTTGTCCTTGAAGTGCATGATCTCAAAATGAAATAAAATGTCAATAGAAATTTTTGTACAGAATTTTGTTGCCTATAAAGACTACCTCCGATATTGTACCCTGGAAATCCCTCATCTGGTCAATAATTAAAATATTAAATCAATTATTCGCCGACAAACGCTTCTACAAAACCTCAAGAGACATTTTCTCCCAGACCTTTTCTTTCCAAAGATATTCAAAAAATAACTAGAATGAATTTTTTGATTTCATTAATTTTCTTCCATCACTTCCCTCCTGAACAAATTCTCCAGTTACAATGATCCTCAACATGGGGAACTCCAATTATTTGGATTATTAAAATTATTTAATTAGTTTGGAGTGAAGTGACGATAATAGAAATTTCATACTAGTTATTTCGTTTATTTCAGAGAAACATGAGCATTTGAGATTTTTTCTGATGCACTCACACCAGAGATAGTTGAAAAATTGATAAGTAGAAAACGATTAAAGTAGAATATGAAAAATCTATTGACAATTATTCTTGATGTGAATTTTTAAGATGGAATAAAATGTCAATAAAATTTTTTGTGCAGAATTTTTCTGACAACAAAAAATATCTCTGATATTTAACCCTGGAAATCCCTCACCTGGTCAATAATTAACCTCAAAGCAATTATTTGTCGACCAATGCATCTACAAAACATCAAGAGACATTTTCTCCCAGACCTCTTCCTTTAAAAAATCCTTTCAAATTAAACAAAAACAAAATAACCAGAATGACATTTTTCATTTCATCAATTTTCCTCCATCACTTCCCTCCTGAGCTATTCCTCCAATGATTTCTCCATCGAATGCATCTACCGAAGCACACAGTTCCAATCACCCATATAAATTCATCTAATACCTCTCGGCTTATCAAACATTAAAATTTAAAGCCAACAGACTCCACTACATCCATCAATCGTCTCCTACGACCTTCGATCTATCTACTTCCTGCGACACTGCCTTGGGATCAACAGAGGAAGAGAAAATAAGTTTCAATTGCCGCAACGGTCGAGACTAGTTTCGATTGACAGAAAATAATTATGTACTCTTCGATCAACAATTTGATCTTTATTTCTCCTCACAACTCCGGCACGAACAACAGGCCGATTATAATACTTCAATAATTACGGTTTTTTACAATTAGGCGTCCCAGTATCGGTAGAACAATAAGTCAATGATTCCACGTACGAAAAAATTTCATAGAAAAATCTAGCGAATCTGTTGGAAATTTCTAATGGATTTCTATTGAACTTTTATAAGTTTTTGAACGATTGGATTGAAAAATCCAACTCTCTTTGCGTTTTTAGTCAAATGAAATTTTAAGAAATGTTCAATGGAAAATGTTCTCTAGAAAAAAGTCAATAGCATTCTATTTATCTATAGAGTTGTATAGAAACATGGAATCTACTGGTTTTTCAAGAACACGCGCGGTAAACCTGTGGAATTCTTCATTACAATCTGTCAAACACTAACAAAATTCTCAATAGAAGTTCAATAGACATCCAATCGAATTTCTCTACCATATTCGCTAGGTTTTTTTAGGAAATATTTTCATGCGTGTCAGGGGGGACAAGAGTTATTGTCGAGTTGCGTATGTTTCAAGAAAGAAATTTCAGTGGACGGTTTACAAAATTAATTTCTTCCGTGGAGTGGAGAAGTGATTCAACCATTCTAGTGAACATTCATCTCATTAATTATCAATTTCTCAATTATTTCGGTAATGAGAGGAAATAAATTTTGAGAAATATTTTTTTCCAACATTTTTTGGGCTTGAAAAGTACTCTTGACACTCTTCTCCTAAAACTGCTCATTTCCAAGATGACTGAGAAATTGAGGAAAATAATTGATTCCTTGAATGAAATAGTTAATCGTGAGATTTCCTCGGTAATGATTAGATTCGCGAAAAAATGTCGGGGCATTTGATATTTTTTTAGAAAATTTTCTAAACTCCAAAAAGAATCTTCACATTTTTCTCTGTCCAATTAATTTCCGAGGTACATGATTTCGAGTGTATGAGAATAGGTAATTACTTGGATTAATTTATTGATTATTAAATTATCTCGGGAATTAGTGAATTCACGAGAAAATGTCAAGACCTTTTTTTAGCCAAATTTCTGTGCTGCAAAGAAATCCCATCAACATTTATCCTTCAACTTTTAGTAAAACTGTTAATTTTTAAGATAATTAACGAATTACCCAAAATTTATGATGATTGAATCCAATCGTTAATGTCAAATTATCTCAGTAATCAGTGAATTTATACGAAAATGTCAAAAGATTTTTTTGTGAGAAATATTCTCATCTACTAAAAAAATGTTCTGTCGATATTCTTCCTCGTGAAGTTCCTAATGTCTGAGATAATCAGTTAATGAATGAAAATTCCACTGAATAACTTATTTCATCACTTCGTATTTCATCGATCTGCATGATCCTGTTGCATTAATCGTTTTTGAGATCGAGCGCTCAAGACATTAAAAAAATAATTATAACAAAATCATGTCATTGCCGTCACCAGAGTTTCGCGTATGGCGCGGATTCCAACTCGACAATTGATTAATGAAGCACGTGGAGGGGCACAGGGGAATTAATTTCCCCCGATGTTTGAGAATAACATAATACTCGCCAAAGACCACTATCACTCCACTGAGTGATTCGAGTGAATCAGTTCAGCTGAGATATAGAAAAATCTGGGATTAACGATGTCATGGGTATCTCCCAGAACGAAGCTTCAATATGTTCGACAAAAAAATTTCGTTCATCAAAAATTGGTGACGCTTCCAACACGTCAATTCAGAGAGTTATCGATCAATTAAATAAGCAATAATGAGGCTCATCCACTGATTCTTATGACGTTAGGAGTTTAAGGGGACAATTCACTCCTTCAGAGGATAAAAAAAAAATTAGAATAAATGCGGGGCAGTGCAGAATGATGCACCGAGCGTGATGAGGGCGAAAAATAATGGGGTACCGGGGCTAATGAGAGAGATATTTTGACTCTTCACGTCCACATGACCTCATGAGAAACTGCACGTCCATTACATCTTCCTTGTTTATCTTCATGATATTGCATTCGTCTTGCTAGATTGACATTGTGATAGGAATTACTCGCATATTGTCCTCTATCAGTAAATGAACGAAGTTTTTCCTGAACGGTCCATGGGATACCCCTGACATCCTTAATCGAAATATCTCGAGCAAATCGAATACTTTCGCTATTGGAAAAATAATTACTGCCGATAAATCCTCTTCACGTGCAATAAGGCGAATTATCTTGACACATGATTATTTTGTTTCTTGTTATTTTCTCTTGCAAGTAGTAAAATATTCATTGCAATTGTCATCTATGAGATTATAGTATTTACAATTGTCAAATATAATGAAGATTGTGTTGTCGATAGTGTCATAACGTGACATTATTTTTCCATCAGTTTAAATTCTTTTCATTAATTTTGTAATTTTTATTTTGATCCTATGGAAATGTAGACACCCTGAATCACTGTGTATTCCTTTCGCATTCCTCTCTTTATTCATTTCTGACAAAATATTCACCACGTACGGATTATTTTTCTTTACAACATGAATTTGAGTAGTTCAATAGTAAAATTAAACAGCTCCAAACAGAGTCTTCAGAGTATATTGCAAATATTTCTGAGAGGAAGAGATTTAGGAAAATTATCCCGAGATCTTATCACGAGGAATTCCATACTCTACAGATGAAATCTTTCAACAATTTTTGGTAAACCTCATAATTTCAGACGTATTTACAAAATAATCTGCATGAGATTTGGACCAATTTAGTAGTGAATTGATAAACCCTATTTTTCGTCTTGAAAAAACGTCGGAGGGCCATTTTTACAAATGGATAAATTCCGAACAATAATGTTTCCCTGAATTTTGCTCTAAGATCGGTCATTATTGAGATAATTCAGGATTCATCAAGATTCTGAAAATCTACTCTTTCTATTCCGTTCTGTCACATTGTATCACTTCACGACTAAATATATTCTTTTATTTTTTTTACAATTTGCAATTCTATGGAACTTCCATCTCCAACGTGTCTTTTTTATTTGTTTCATTACCCGCATAAACAGTAAATTTCCATCCAATACAGGATAATGTTTTGATTGAGTGGAGACGGTTCAAGTCGACTTCCATGAGCACGACAGCATGTACCTGACAATTTCAATGAACCCGAACCACAACTGCTGATTCCACACCTTTCCTTTCACCTTCGACACGCCTAGACAAGATCGAAAGGGCGATAAGGTGGATAAAAAGTAATCGATATCTAGCTACCAGTGTCAGACACGTCGTTACTGCCACAAATTGCTAGACAAGGTTTGGCCGGGAAGTGCAGCAGGTGGTGGCTTCCCGAGTCCCCCCAAGGACATCTGAGACATCTGCTGAGGCAACTGGAATGCACCATGAAAGGAAGTCAATTAGTTTTTTTGTCTCAGGGCTGGGGACCAATAGCATCACATTTCGTTGCAGTTGAAGGATTTTATTTTTTTTAGACTGAGAGAAAAACAAACAAGTTTCTGAAACGAGTCTTGCTTGGGCAAACAAAATCGCTAGGTGACAATTCAGGATTCATCAACTACTGAAAAAGAAATTACTAAAAAAAGAAATTGTTTGAAGAAATTACTAAAAAGGAAATTGTTCGATTCGTATTTGAAGGTCTCAAACATGAATAATTGCTCTGCTTTCGACAACAACGGAATATTTGTCTCAAGAGGCGGATGATTCACACGAGACGGTGCCTTTTCAGGATGAAAAATCTCATACAGAGGAAAGATTATTAAGAAATATTTTAATATCAGTAGCGAAGTGGTAGAACGATTCAAGTCGATTTTGGCTAGTGGTCAGTTTTCAATGAATATCTCGTGATCCAAGGCAGACAGCAAAATTTTTGTTGAAACCTTTTCGTAGAGCGGATTAAGATCTACAAAAAAGGTTATTAGAAAAAATTATCTATCTCCCTTAGATTCGGAGATATTCCTCGAAAACTGAGCTAAGAGCTAGGTCGACATCAATCGTTTTACCATTTCGCTTCTGATATTTTGTCTCTGAGTTACAAAATTGCTATCATATCATATTTATTATTTCATTTAAGGCCCGGCTGGATTATCTTTTGAACGTGATCTTGATTGTTTTTTTGCTTTCGAATGGAAGCCTTGCGATCGGTCATTTTTACTATCTTCTAATTTTGCTTGGAAATGATGTAGAACGCCATTAAACGTGAAGATATGATGTTTTTAGAAAATGCGTGTATGTATGTCCGTATGTGTGTGCAGATTTTTCGGAAATTTTTTATAAATCTCAACAAAAAGACAAGTAAAGTTGCAGCTATAAATCTGAAATTTTGTCACATAATTGCTATCATTTGGGAGCAGCTCTGGGCGCAGTTTCAGCCCAATCGATCAAGTAGTTTTTGAGATACAGCAATTTCGTAAAAATCGTTTTTCCTCAATATCTCAAAAACTACGTGATTTAATTGAATTTTTTTACGTCAAAGTGTTCTTTGTGATAATATCTATCAAATTAAGTCATAATATCCCTACAAAACGAGGGACAGTTTGATGAGAATTGCCATTTTTTATTTTTATGATAAGATTGATGTATACACGATAACTCCCGAAAAAAATGATAGGATATTGAAATTTGGTGAGATTGTAGCTCTGATGATATTACAAGATGAGTTCGGGAGTGGGCGAAATCGAACAAGTGGTTTAGAAGATGTTCAACTTTTTGTGAAAAACTGTATTGCTCAATATCACCTAAAACACTGGTCCAATTTCAATTTTTTTTTCAAAATACTCGTCCTGCTGCCACTTATCAAGATCAATCAAAATATTCACGTTTTTCTATTTTTTTCATCTCAGTGAATTTGACGTCCCGTAATCTGCGTAAAAGTTCGAATGAACCCCATAAAAGTTTGCCTACTAATCAGTATTATAGCGTCTCACTTCCGTACAAAATTTTGGGTCGATGGATTCAGTACATCATGGCATAGAACCATTTATCTAAAAATCGTTTTTTCTAAAAAATGACACATCGTCACTTTATCGATGATTTTCGCGTCTCGATGATTAAAAAAGTCATTCCACATTAAATTATGCTCATTTCTATTTTATATCGTATTGTTAAATATTAGTCGATTTCATAATAAATGAATATTTATTAACGATTTTATGGCGAAAAAGGCAAGAAATACAAAAATACGTGATGCGTCCGCGGAATTGCCAATTCTCATTTTTGAAATTGGAATTGCTACGGATCCGTTCGGAAGCTTATTACTAATGGAATTGGTAGAAAAAAAAAGACTAATAACACATGAAGAAACAGTCACATGGCTTCCGTCCGATAGGAGTTCTACCCTGCTTGTTTATATTGATAATTTGAAATGATCTCCAATTGCTATTCTGGTTTACATAGCCCTGGAGTCTCCAAACATTATAATTGTACAATCAAAAAAACGCAGAAAAAAGCTTAACATTTTCAGATAGCGTTTGTGAATAATATTGGGAAATAAACCTAACAGGGAGGAAATTGCCAAATAAAAATTTGATGTATCTAATGGCTGTTAGGTCGTCATTTGTCACAGTAGCCAATAGCTGCCAGATCGTTAGTTACCATAATAAATTATCCATCCACTATTTCCTCTATCGGACATATTTCTTAATCTTTATTAACAACGCTCTTTGCAAATGTTCAGTTTTTTTCTACTTTTTTTGATTGTACAATCATAATTTTTAGAAACTCCTGCGTGATGTAAAATCCAATAGAAATTGTGATATATTTTACATTATGAATATGGAAAAACAATCGAGATAACGTTCGAAAGATAATCCACCCGGGCCTTTAAGAATTCATTTATTATTCGTGATTATTGAATAACCGAAACAAAAACCACTATCTCTTGTTTCGCATAAAACAAACATTTTTCAGGAGCAAAATAACTTCAGCATCAATTTCCATCAAATTTAAATCCAGAAAATTTCATCTGACTCGTCCTTTCCGTTTCCTTCCCTTTCTGTACACCTCTTATCTCATACATATTCCAACTCCTGAAGACCTCTAACATCCACTAATGACTAAGCTCCCCTAAAACTCAGTTGAAAAAAAAATCACTCACCTGCGTCACAAAAGCATTACTAACCGGAGCCTGCGTCCCCAGATTGAAGAAAGGATTGCTCCCAGGTGCAGGTTGAATGTTCTGCGCGAGCATTCCACTCCACCCATTACTGCTGGGCACAGCAGCCTGCCCCATCTGGATCATCTGTGAACCAACAGGTGTCACACCACTCTGCTGTCAACACAAAGCTTCAGTACTTCCTACAAAAAAATTATTTCCAATCCCCAAAGCCTCCAAAACTCACCATCTGAGTCTGCATAGCAATGCCAGAATTGATAGCTCCCATCTGCATGTTCCCCCCCAGAGAATTGCCCAGCCCAATCCCATTAACATTCATCTGACTCCCAGTCATTTGCATTTGTCCAGGCACGATCTGTCCAAAACTCCCAACATTTTGTATCGGTTGCGTGTACTGGGGTAACGCCTGTTGATTGTAAATACCACTGGGTACACCAAATACTGATTGTTGACTCGGTGTGCCATAAAGTGCGAGAATACTGTCTTTAGTCATTTTACTTTTTTCCTGGGTGCTGGGTGCTGGTTGATTGAAGAAACTCTCCTCATCAGCTTTGCTGGCAGTCGTTGTTGCCGTTTCTGTCGTGCCATTATTTGATGCTGATGTTGGCGATGGTGATGCTGTTGGCACAGCTGATAGGAAGGATGAGAATATGTCGTCACCAGAGCCAGAGCCATTTGTGCTGGTCTGATTCGTCGGTCCGTCCAGACCCAGAAGGTCCAGGGTAGCTCCACCATTGTTACTTGCTCTCGAGGCCTTCGGACTCACTGAACTACGGGGCTTCGGCAGTTGGGGCACCACTTCCGGTTTTTTCACTGGGGGGAGGGCGTTCTGGGTGGTGCCGGACTTGCTGCCCTCCTTCTTTCGTCTGCGTTGCTTCTCCGCTTCGTCGTCCAGCTCCTTGTCCCAGTTGACTTTGGGGAGGGTTGGGGGCACCCACTCACGGGCTATATACTTTTTATGCTCGTACTTGGCACGAATGAAACTCTCGAGGCTGCAATCTGTTTGCGGACGACGAAATGTGTCGGGGAGATTTGCCTCGTACACTGCACGGGCTCGGGAATTTCCCATCTGTTGGAGACTCTGAAGTGCACAGAATTCGTGGATTAGGGGAGCAAAGATCGACATCAATCATTGGATTGTTAATAATTCGGGGTTTTAATTGGGGAGAGTGGGGCAACATGAAACAGTCGAAAAATGACTGATTGACGGAATTCAAGCAAAAAAATTTTTTTTTGTTAAATATTTTGTTTTATCAACTTTTGTTTATTAACTTTTTTTTATTCTTGAGAGCACTTAATGAGAATAATAATTTTCCATTCAGTAGAATGAAAAATTATTGAGAAGTTTTGACGGGAGACGATTTTGTCAATGGACTAATTGAAAAGAAAATGAAAGAGTAAAATCCTAAGTCTAGTGGAAGGCCCAGAGGGAGACCGAGAGGGGGAAAAAGGAAAATTTGATGCTGAATTTCAGTCGAATGAAAAATGAAAAGTGTAATCGGTCTAATCTAATCAATTAAATTATAAGATGAGTAGAAAATTATTATTTTCATCAGTACTCCCGAGAAAAAAAAGTCGATAACAAAAAATTAGCAAAAAAAAATTTTTTTACTTAAATTGCGTCAGTCATTTTTCCACTGTATCATTTTGCCCTACTCTCCCCTATTTAATTAATGATTAAGGCCCGGTTACATTATCTGCCGAACGTTATTTAGATTGCGTTTTTTGTTACATTTTCATCTCGAAATTTGAACTCGATACCCCGTCACCCAGAGACCCCCAAAAATGATGAATTTGGTTGAAACAAGCAGGGGGCCGAGCCCTCCTGTCAGAAGGCATATGACCGTTACTTGATGTGCCATTTGTCGTTTTCATTTTTATTTCTGCCAATTGTATTGGTAGTAAGCTTCTGAATGGATCCGTAGGAATTTCATTTTTTAATTGAAAAGTGGCACTTTCGATTGAAAACGTTTCCTCGAAACGTTTGACCTTCTAAAATTGAAAATTAAATTTTGGGTTTATCCAGTGGGATAGGCATATCTACACGACCCCATTTTTAAGAGATGCTTCCATGTGAAAATCAATGATAGAACAACGATATGTAATTTTATGCGAAAAACGTTTTTTACATCAACTGCTCTGTTTCAAAAAGTATTGAATCGCTCAATCTCAAATTTTACACAGGAGTGCAACTCGATGATACTAACAACATTCCTCAACATTTTAGAACTTTAGTATATTCTTCACTCATGTAATGGAACGTCAAAACAACTTTCAGACAATAAAAATAGAAAAACGCCAATATCGTAAACTTTGTAAGAACAGGTATATATATTTTGAGAGAAGTAGATAAGAGACATCAAGACGAATATTTTGAAAAAAAAATTTGAAATCAGATGAATGATTTTTGAGATGTTGAACAATTGAATACCTTTAAAAATATTCATTCGATTTCGTCCATCTGAAATTCCAGCCTGTAGTATAGTAAGAACTAGAATCCTAACAAAATTCAACTTTCTGTCTCAATTTTTTCAAGCGTTATCGTGTTCACATTAATTTTACCACCAAAATTAAAAATGTCAATTACTGAGCGACTCGCAATAGTTAGCCAGGCATATTATGGTCTGATTCGATACATATTGTCATAAGGAATATTTTGACGCCAAAAAAGTTCATTTGATTCAGTAGTTTTCGAAATATTGAGAAAAGAAGAATTTTTCGAAATCGCTGTATCTCAAAACCTACTGGACCGATTCAGCTGAAATTTTGCCCAAATGTGCTCCAAAAAAATGCCAATTATGAACCAAAATTTCAGATTTTTATCTATCACTTTAGTCCTTTTTGTGTGAAAATTTATTTAAAAATTCTCAGAATTTTGTACGCACAGGCGGACGTACACACAGACATCCTCTAAAAACATCATATCTCGACGTTTCATGACATTTCTTTTCAGCAGGGGAATTTCTTTTCAGCAAAATAAAAAAAATTGAAAATCAGGATTTTTTTTTGCCATTTCAAGATGTTTTTTCCATAAATTTTGAAGAATTTGGTTAGAAGTTTATAGAATACTTGAGAATTTTGTAAATTTAATTTGAAAACATTCCACAATTTTTTCAAAAGGCTTATAGAACCTGAGAAATTTTTTGGAATTTTCAAGAAAATGGGAGAATTTCTTTCAAATCTTTTAGAAACTGGCGATTTTTGCTGGATTCTTCCTCAAGAAATTCTTCCTTAAGACTATTGCTCCCCAATAGAATCAGCGCAAAAAGCAAGTGGAATTTTTTAACAGAATTCCAATAGAGATCCTATAGAAACCCCACAGAATTCCTATAAAATTCCAATAGATTTTTCTAGCGAATGCGCTAGGTTTTCTATAGAATGTTTTCATGCGTAACTAATCCTAAAAAAAGAGCATTGAAAATAATCCAAATGCATTAGAAACACATTGCCACAATGATAAACAAGTTGCTACCACATGTCCCCAACGTGTGGTTTTCTACCGTATATTTGATGATGATGATAAGCCTATAACTTCCCAATGACTCATCAGGTGAACCAGCCACACACCACTTGTGCGGGCTACTCTCCCTCCCTCCTGATTTTGCAATAACTCAAAGTTACATTTAATAACACGTGGGCTGGGACTTCTGATCCGTGCTAATATATTCGGTTATGCGATACAATAAATCGGGGATGATACCCACGATATGAGAATAATTATGGAACAGGGGATTATATAAGTACCACGACTTGCTCCGGTGTCCAAGTGTCTAGATTCACAGATTTGACTTTGCTGATGTGAACACCCAAATTCCTGTGAATTCCTGCACAGCGAATGCAGAGGAATATCCCCAGGTTCCAGCTTGCCCATCTTGGTCCTAGAATATCAAATAATATTAATAAAAGAACAACATAGTAAAATCGTCAAGTTGAAAATAAAGTGAAGAATAATTAAAGTTGAAATCAAGTCATCAAGTCATCAAGTCGCCAAGTTGAAATTAAAGTGAAGAAGGAAAAATTAATGTGTAGGTTTAATTGTGGAAATCTTGTGAACGAAAGAGTTTTAGATTAATTCATCAAGAGGTTTTTTCTTGTAGGTTCTGAAAATCTCTTCAAAAAAGACGTTTCGATTAATTTTTCAGAAACTTTTCCTTTTCAATTTAATCATTAAAAAATTGGGAAGAATTTTTTCGTTGAATTTATGGTTTTTCGTCGCAATTTAATTGATATATATAGGTAATTCAGCAAATATCTTGATAATTCAAAAAATCACGCAAAAGGGGTCTTTTGATGAGTTTTCCCAAATCTGCATCCAAGAGATTTACAAAGTCACAAAGAAATCAACCAAATTGTTTCATTAGGATTAATAATTGATTAATTTAATTGCTGATTATTTAGCGAATATCTGGTGACAGACGAAGTTTACATAATTTTCTCCAAGAACTTTTGCTGTAGCCTTTACAATTCTGTACCAGAAAAAGATTCTTTTATAAATTGTTTAACAAAACTTTTTTCGTAGCTTTCAAAAATCTCTACGAAGGTATCTCCTGATGAATTTTCTCGAATTACTTCGTCTGCAAGAGATTTACAGAGTAACAAAAAATTGAGTAAAAATTTTGCACTAGAATTTGTAAGTGATACATTTAGTTGTTTATTATTCTCTAAATGTCAGATGAACGACGAAGTTTACACCATTCTTTATAGTACTTCTTCTGCAGCCTTCTCAAAATTCTCGGAAAAAAAAGATTCTTCCATAAATTATTTATCATTAACAAAAATATTGGAACTGAATTTTTCATTGGATTGATAATTGAGAAATTCGAATGCAGATGATTCTGTAAATCTCCGGGAAATGTAGAGGTTTACGAGAATTTATCGAGATGTTTTTTGTAGCCCTTGGAATTCCCTACAAAAAACGTCTCATGCTCTAATTCTCGTGACATTCTAACAACATTGAAATTACATGTTGCTCCAAAAATATACTTATTTGAATTAAATATAGTTTGAAGACCAATCTCGCGTATATGAAAATTTATCAAAAGATTTTTTTTTAGCCCGCGAAATTCCTTACAAAAAACGTCGCATTCTAATTCTCTAAACTTTATTATTCTCAAGATATTTGTGAAATTATACCAGCATTGAAATTCCATGGTACTCCAAAAATTTAGTATTTCAATTAAATTCAGCTCAAAGATTAATTAGAACTGAAATTTCCTTGCGAAAATCATATAAAATGGAATGAAAATCATAAATGAAAGGAATTTTATGAGAAAGTAGTAGCTGAAGGGAATGTAGGGTTTACGAGAATTTATCAAGAGATATTTTTTGTAGCCCTCGAAATTTTCTATAAAAATTCTTTAAATTCTTTAAACTTTGTTATTAGTAAGACATGTACAAAATCATAATATTAAAATTGTATGTTGTTCGAAAAATGTATTTACTTTATTAAATTTGGTTCGAATGTCAATCTAGAGTTTATGAAAATTTATCGAATGATCTTGAATGATGATTTTCTAGACCTTGAAATTTTCTATAAAATACATCTGATGATAATTCTTCAAACTTTCTGCCAAATGGTACCATGTACCAATGGCAGCACATAAATTCTTCAAACTTTGTTATTAGTAAGACATTTGCAAAAGTATAACATTAAAATTCCATGTTGCTCCAAAAATGTATTTATTTCAATTAAATTCAGCTCGAAGGTGAATTAGAACTGAAATTTCTTTGCGAAAATAGTCCAAAACGGAATTGAAATCATAAATGAACTGAATTTTCTGAGAAAGTAACCGCGTGAAAGTCACAATGCGAAATTAATCGAGTTGTCAATGCTGACGTTGGCTCATGATCGCTGTCAGTCATCCCCTATTATGAAATTAAAAATCTATAAACCAGAGTCTAATCCAGGAAGACAAAACTAGGTCGTGGTAAATCGATAGAATCTAAGACATATTAAACTTGAAAAGTGATTCAATGTCAAAAAAGATAACAGCAGCCTCGTCTACAGCTGAGGGATAATCGCTATCGTGTACAAAGAACCTGTCGTAAACAGTCGGCGCTACGTCAGCCAGAACAAACCTTTCGCATCGCAGTCGACACAGTACTTATTGTCCTCATCCCTTAACATTTGCGTGAGGAGATCTTGACATTTATCCTGAATCTGCTTGGCTCGCTCCTTCTCGAAGCGGGACGTCATATTGATGTTGTTGGCTTATCACACACTTCGATCGAGTTTCTTTCGCACCAACTTGAGACTGTTGTGATTGAAAAAAAATATATATTTATAGGTATATCCGGCTACTCGGGTGAGCTACCCACTGAACGTTTTACGGACTGTGGAGACGCTGATGCGACGGGGCCATGACACGGGTGAACGTCACAATCACGGAATAATTGGGGTTCATGAAGACTGGCAAGCTGCGATTCATTCCGTTATTTTTGAATCGTTGAGTTGACTCAGGAGATGGCGGCACGAGCGAAAATTCTCACGGCGCGAATATGAGCGTTTTTACAACTTAGGGCCCGGGTGTATTATCTTTTGAAAGTTATCTGGATTTTTTTTATCTTTCGTAATCCAAAATTGTCAATTGAGTGGTACATCATGTAGAAATTTCCAAAAATTATGATAGAATGATACAAAAAAATAGAAAAAATTCTGAACTTTTTCAAAGAGCGTTCTTAGTTGAGATTCAGAATGAGTTGAAAAAATTGGAAATTACAAATATCTGATTCGCCGTGGCAAATTAGCTGTCGTTTTCCATGGTGGATAACAAAACACTAACTTCTCATGGGAAGTGACAGCTAGGTATCACAATTTTCAAAATAGTGGTATGTAGTCATCTGCCATTTTTATATGATAAAAGTGTGATTAAAAAATTCCCCAAAATATCACAACTTTTTTCAAAGAGCCTTTTCCGTAATAAAGGTCCCTGTGCAGTATGGGAAAAGATTTACGAAATCAGTCTTCCCCCTGCATGATATTGGGTGACAGGCCGCCATTTGTCACCGTAAATCAGATACATTTTTAAATTTCTTGTTATTCAACTTATTCTGATGTGAGGAACCCTCGCAGTTTATATTTTACATTATATAAAAAAACAAAGATTTATTTATTTTATGCACAAAACCGGTGAGGAAATATTTTCTGAGATTTTTTAATTAAAAGCGGAACGGAGTAGAATAATACGGGGCGACCTTGATTTAAATTTAGTTGCGGCAAGCCCGCTAGGCGATCGAGTGGCGCAGGGCTTTCTCCTTGTGATTTAGTTATGGAAAGTTGATAAGTTACGGCCGGCGGCGAAAATTTGGAGATCCGTGTGCAGTATAACCTGCCCACTTCAATTCACGGCGGTGGATCGTGGCGAAACATTTTTGGACGCAACCCTTTTCGTAAGTAGCCTAGAAGCTATAGTCGACTCACTTGAAGCACTCAATCGGAGATGCTTACCAATAATTTTGAGTAGCCTGGAAGCTATAGTCGACTCACTTCAAGCACTCAATCGGAGATGCTTACCAATTTTGAAGGTATCCTTGAAACTATAGTCCACTCATTTGAAGTGCTCAATCGGAGACACTTAATTAATTGCAAGCAGCCTGCTGGCTGTAGTAGACTCTGAGAAAAGGGTGGCAACGTAAGAGAATCATTTTTGGGGTGGAACAAATTTGGCAACTGATAATTGCCAGCAAATTGATCAACATTATTGTTAACTCGTATTCTGCTCCGAAGAGATTCCCGATAAATTTGAGAATTTGATGAGAAAATCTGCAAGGAACTAATTAACGGTCGAATAAATAGACAATCAGTCGACGACCGCTGCTTGGAGAATAATGAGAAATGTCAAAGAGAGAGCAATTTTGATAATTTGTTGTATTTTGCTTGTATCCAGTGGATTTTATATGATTTTATTGTTTCGAAATGTCATTTATGCAACTCATGCCTGAAACCGGCTGGATTACACACTCGACGCTTCGCGTCTCGTGTCTAATTCAGCCGGTTTCAGGCTTCGTGACATAAAATTTTGTTCAGTACTTGTTGGGAAATTTCGTCCTTAACGTGTGTGGTTACATCACTCGCCTTCGGCTCATGCTGTAAACCCCACACACGTTAAAGACGAAATTGCCCCACACGTGCTGAAATATACTATTTCATCATTTTGATAATAAAGTTTGTGGTGGATTGGAAAAATCTCAAGGATGACAATAGAGTCTAACTTGATAAGACCAGTTCTGAGGGATTTTCCTTTCTCTATTTAATTAATTAGAATGAATAAATAAAATGATTAGAGTCAAGATTTTATGTGATCACCGAAGCTCTCGTTAATTCCAAGCAGAGATTGTCGAGCTGAAAGAAATGAAAATTCTGTTGGGATACCGGGAGTAAAAAGAGTAAAATTTGCAAAATGCGAAGTAAAAATCGAGAATAAAATGAAATATTACCCATGTATCGGATAATATTCAAAATTTAAATATCGACAATAAAAAGAAATTCAACTGTTAATGAATCAATAAGCCTCATTATTTTAAACCCTGGACAACTGAAGCATTCGGCAAAATGAGCACAGATTGAAAATTGAAGAATTCAAGCAAGTTTCATTACACTGAATATAAATTAAGAATGCTCTTTGAAAAAATTAAGAATTTTTCCTCCTTTTTTTTAAATATTCATTCATAATTTTTCAAAACTTCTGTATGATGCAAGACTTAACTGACAATTTCAGATGACGAAAGATGAAAAAAAATATCGAGATGGTGTGCGAAAGATAGTCACTTTTCTGAAATATTTTAAGTACATTATTTGATATATTTCAATGCTCTATGTGAAGTTTTAGATTGTTGAGGTTAATGGTTCGAATGGAATAAATTATTTTAAAAAACGGAATTTACCCCGTGTTCTTATGGGGAATGTTGAAAAATGCATAGAGTGAATGCAAAAATGCAGCCAATGTCACAAAACTTCGTCCATGTGTGACATATCAATGAATACATCTTCTGCAAACAAACATTGGTTGGATTCGTTTTTTAGCCAAAAATCACAAAAAACCACTAAAAATCCGAATTTTTGCGCGCGCAGCTATGAGTTGCGACAACGTAGCACTTGCCAATCGGATGGGGGTAAACGCGGTAAATACAAAGATGAATAAAGGACCGTTGTGGACTTCATGATATCCGAAGATAATTTTCCCGATAATAATAGTACATTAGAGTACAAGGGCACAAATGTCGCTTTCGACGAATGTGAAGTTTACCTGTATTCACATTCGTTGAAAACGAAGTTTATGCCCGAGTGGTCTATACTGGGTGCGTTTCGGAATCAACTACCGTAGCTGCAGTAAAGCAAAATTAGATAGGGTTTCAGTACTGCTACTGCTACTACGTCGATTGCGAAACGCGCCCACTATTTTATGCCACATCATGCAGAAGTCGAGTTTGAAGCACGCTGCGCTTCGCGCAGCTTCGGTAAACTCGACTTATTGAAAACGCTAAGGGCGCGTTTCGCAATCGACGTAGTAGCAGTAGCAGTACTGCAACCCTATCTAATTTTGCTTTACTGCAGCTACGGTAGTTGATTCCGAAACGCACCCTAAATATCAAAACGCCACCTATGAATGGCGGATATTGGGCTGCACACAGACAGTATTCAGCCGAATTTGGGCTTGTGTTGGCGTGTATATGGGAAGCCTAAAATCGTCCATATTGGTGAAAACGAGCGCCGCCATCGGTAATTAGCGGTCCCAATTGCACGGCGTGGCATAAATATCAATAAAATTCATGAAATGGATTATCCTTCGAACGTTATCTCGATTCTTTTTCCATCTTCATAATGTAAAATATATCACAATTTTAAAAATTATGGTTGTACAATAAAAAAAAGTAGAAAAAAAACTGAATATTTTCAAAGAGCGTTTTTAATAAAGATTAAGAAATAAGTCCGATAGAGAGGAAGTAGTGAATGGAGAATTTATCACGGCAACTAACGATCTTTTTTTTTTATTGATAGCACAAAACCTTAAGGTTTATACAGCAACTAACGATCTGACAGCCATTGACTAGCCCTAGGGAGCAAATAGCCACCTAACAGCCACCTAATTAGATGGCTGTTAGGTGGCTGTTAGGTGGCTACTTGTTTTGGTGTAAAAGAGGGTAAATGATACCTGGAACGATTATGGATGTAAATCTATGAATTATTAAGGAATTTTAGTAGCTTTAATGACATTAATTTCCATTAATTAAGGAAAATAATAGTTCGCGTATTGAAAGGGAAAATAAATCAGTAGGGGGAACGCCGCCGGATGGCGGCAGTGTTGACTGGTCGCCCAGGCCGATAAAGTCGGCAGCAGTGGCGGGAGAAAATTGATTATCCAATAGTTTCATATTGGCATTTTTTTAAATAAGTTTAATTCTGTACTGGCCCAATTGCCCTACGTGAACAATGTTATCGCAAATAGATATGTAGGAGGAGAATGCTGCGGGTCAAATAGGGGCGAAGAGGGGCATCAAATAATTAGATAAATAAAATAATGGAATCTAAAAATTTTGAACTTTGTGAGAAGTGGGGGGAAGGGTATGTAGACGGAGGGTTGAGATTTTCACCCGTTAATG